GACACAGCCAGGCTCATTCCTGTTGATAGCTGCTTTTGTTACAAAAGTGCAACTGCAAGAGACTATATTGCTTGTAAAGCTGAAAATATTTACTATCTATTTCTTAACAGAAAAAGTTTGCCAATCTCTCTGGTATAAAACAAGTTATTTTCTCAGAAAAAAAATCAGCTTTAATCAAAACAAAGTTACTGAACCCTAATTTCTCGGAAGATATTATTAATGAGGTCTATATTCCTGGAAAACCATCAAACTGACAATTAAATGAGATAATGTTAAATAAATTAAGTAATTCAAAATTAGCCAATGACTTTAAATTAGCCCAATGCAATAATGCATGTTGAAGAGGAGAAAGAACTGAGTGCTTCTGTGAGCCTGAAACCTGAGTAAGATCATCATTAGAAAGAACTGAACAATATTTGAAACACCTCCTTAACATAAGGAAACCCCAGCACCAGCCGATACCAGAGTATTCAAGAACAAGAGCAATCAACTTTCTGCAGTACCCACATGCCTGTCCTGGTGCATGCATGTGTCTTATATGCTACACTACTACAAAATAATTTTTTTCAAACTAAATACAAAAGGAGAAAATTATGCATAACACCCCTTCTGGCAAAAATCTCACAGTAATACCTGGTATTGTTTCTTCTTCCTTGAAAAAGTCAAGAGATATATGTAATCCCCTCCACACACACAGAAAAAATAAAAAACACACAACTCCCTAAGAAGAATGCACATTTCAGAAGCCTGTGAGAAACACTGAGTGCCCTCCAGCAGGGTGGAGACTTGCAACTCCCTTGCCAGTGGGTAACAGGAAAAGGAATATGAGAGGCCAGGGTCCAACTACAGAGCAAACTTTTGATACAAAATTTTATATCATTTCAGGCTGTCATATATGTACATACATATGTCCTTGGAATAAATTTAGTCCCATGAAAGCTAAGCAACTTTAGTATTTTTTAAAGTATGAAAAAGTTATAAATGGCAGAGCCATTCAAAATGAAACACTGGCTAAAGCAAATGAGTAGTTTTGGCTTCCAAACTATTAAGAAATTTAAGACAATGATATTGTGATAAGAATGTTATGTGAGAGCCATCCTTCCTGAGCTAAAACTTTAATACTAAGGATAATCAATGCAAAAGTGAATTCTGTGAAAGGAAAAGTCCTAATAAAAATCAGAACACTCTAATAAGGATGTAAGAAAAACCTACCAACTAACTGGAAATGTTGTATAATCATAAGTCGCTTATAAAAAGCTGTGCCTGGTTCTTCAACATAGTTTGATAAAGATGACAGATGTTAAAATGATTCAATATCTTAAGCAGAAAACACCAAATAAATTTTAAATACTAACACTTTCGTGATCTATTTTGAAATGTTTAAGTATCTAAAAAGCCAAAGACCTGTTGAGTTTTTCTAAGTAGAAGATAGATTCTTAAAATCAAAACAGTGAAAAAGTACATTTTAATGCCTTCAACATGAATCCTGCCCTTTCTATCATCATAAATATGTTTCCATTTTGTTTGTTGATGAAACATATTAAATACAGTTAAAACTCTCAGAAAGCATCTATGGACCAGAGGCTCTTGAGGTCTCATTTGAAAAGCCACCATAAGTTAGTTTTTGAGGCCCACTCTGAGCACAGAAGCAGCCTCCTATCCAAGTGCCACTGAGTGTGAGGAAGCATAAATAGGGCTGTTTCACAAGTGATCATTGTGAAGCGATTCACTATTCAATAGAGATAAGCAAATATTTGCAGAGATATACAAGGCAATTATTTTATACATTCTTGATCCAGATACTGATTATGCTTTAAAATACTTGATTACTTGCTGACAACTCAACCAAAGGCTAACCCTGAAGTCTGGAAGCAAAAGTATGGGGGTCCTTACGGTATGAGACGGCACAGAATGAGGTTTGATGGGGGGATTGCTGACAGATGTGACTTTCGTTTGCTTCTGTAGATGGTCCACCCATTCATGAAGATCTTGCTGGTTATTGCATGACACTAATATGCGCTCAATCATGCTCCCTAGAAGAGAAGAGAAAAAACAGGCTGAAATGAGAAAGTAGGTGGAAAGCACGAACATGCACATACATACACCCTGAGTATAATTCAATAATGCTTAGACATCAGCCCTCTGAAATAGGCAAACGAGAATGGTAATGGTAAGCTGCTTCTCATCACCATGACAGATAGCATCTACAAAGTTTGTGCCTATCACCTGATATTTCAAATGCATTTCTATGATTTTCACTGTCCTCAAGCTTTGAGATTGTCATTCCTGTCGTTGGTAGCTTTCCCTAAAAAAGAGCCCCCCCCAACAAAAAAAAACAATTAGTGCTTTTCTAGTAAAGAAGGTACCGTTATTAATATAAATATTAAATGATTTTAGAAATGGCAGAGGAACTGCATTTATAAACCACAAAAGCTCGTTTGTACCAAATGCATGCATAATACAAAAACCTCTATCTCAAATAAAAATACTATAATCAAGAAATTCAGCCAGCAAAAAGGTAGAGTAGCAAACTAGAACACAAATAAATTCCATCTGATGAGTTACTCTAAATATAAACATGAGAACATAAAAAATTACACATTATGATTAAAAAACCTAGAGTCTATGGTAGCTATTTTAAATGGTGTGTTTATGGAAAGGAAGCACTGATTTGCCTCATAAAGAAATGTAGAAGAAGTTCCATGTTCGAAGACCAAATAAGAGGGAAAATGGATCAAGAGGAATTGTACAACAGTTATTCTTAGTTGTCTACCAGACAGGAAGTCAGTAGTTACGCTAGAGCTGCACAAAATGCAGGAAACAGTAGCCGACCTGTCCATTCTGAAAACAGAGGACTAGGGAATCGAAGTGGAAAATGTTGATGGAGAGATAACAGAAAAGGGCTGCAAATGGCCTTGCAGGACATTTGGTTCTGTCCAAAACATCCACTGAGACATTTGGTTCACACCAAAAGGTCCCTGAAATTTGGTCCTGTCAAAAATGTCCACCCTTAAGAAAACATTACTGAGCTCAAACAACTTAAAACATTTATGGTTACTTTCGGTTTATAGGATTAAAACATAAAAAATACTATCATGTTTTATTGGTCCAACGATCGTGTTGTGGCTGCATTGCCAACAATAACCCTTCTTGCCTCAGCTAAGTAGCCTAGCTAGTCAGGGCACATGGGGTTAAGTGGATAGGTCAGCATGGACCAAATGACTCTATGGACAGACACACCATGGTACCCAGTGAACAATCAAGTCTTTAGGATGAGTATATCAGTGTTTGGGGCCAAGCTGCCTGCAAAGGACTCTCGGTAACTCCAAAAGCTGCAAGGTAAGGGGGACATGCTGCCCTACAGAGTACACTTGCAATGTCACAGAGAGGTGGGCACTCCTGACACCTATTGGGCAGAAGAACAGAGGTACTGCTGAACATCCTACAGCACGTAGGGCTGGAATGAGCCAGTCTACCACATCGACAGTGCCTGGGCTGTGGAACAGTATACAGTGCTTGGTCCTTCTGTGATCGGATGAATTTGAAAAATGCTGTATACTGCACCCTCCTTTCCAAGATTCATAATGCACAGAAGTCTATCAGTTGCTCTGAGAGGTCCTACAGAAATAAAGTTGTGTTTGCATTTAATCTAGCAAATCAATACTAGTGGATAGAATATTCTGGTTTTTGCTGGATTTAATGTTTTTTAATGTTCCTGAAAGCCAGAAATAAATGTTGACAAGACAGATTATGGGTCACAGCACTCAGACAACTCCCAGGAAATTGTGCTGAGTGGGAAAACAGGTCCTATTATTGGTGGCATGAGGTTTCGCATAGCACGTCAATGCCACCACTCACAGCAAATGCTGTATGTGTACCAGCCTTGTCACTAGGGGCCTGAGCCTGTCCCAAAGGGCAATCTCTGCTCCTTTAGATCAGAGCAGGGTCCCATCTCAGATTCTTGAGGTATAAAACTAAAAGGACTCAGCTTTATGTTTATCGGGGTCATTTAACCAAGCAGGAGCTGCCGGTCTGAGGGAACCCAAGTAGCTGCTATATCGACTACAGACATCTGCTCAGAAGCAGCCTTACAAATTAAGAGGCATTATTTTTCTGGGTTTGTCTATATTAATTTTCAAGTTCTCCTTTAGGACTGTGTGATGACAACTCCTCTTTGGATGAAAGCTTTATGTGGAGATACAAACTAACTAGATATTTTTGACTCAGGATTCACTAGTTTTTGCTGAGGATGATACAAAACAACATACTATGTTCTGAAGAAATGCAACTCAGAGAAAATAAAGTGGTGACTTCTGTTTCAGCAGTATCTGGTGATTGGCCAGGCCTTAAAATTTTGATGAGAAAGGCATTAGCTTCTATAACTATACAGAAAAAAAAGCAATGCAACCTTGACGGAAGTACCTATTAGACATACAGGGAAAATATAATCTACTTAATAACACCATTTAAAATTACAGTCAGACCTCTACATCCACAGGTTTCACATTCACAGATTCAACCAACTGCAGATTAAAAACAGTATTTTTGATCTGCGGCTGGGAATCTATGGATGCTGAGGGCTGACTGTATACATTGTTCTATGCTGTTTTACATAAGAAACTTGAGCGGCATCAGCGAATTTTGGTATCCAAGAGGAGTCCTAGAATCAATCCCTTGCAGATACCAAGGGACAACAATGTTAAATATTCACAGATTCAACCAACTGCAGATTAAAAACAATATTTTTGATCTGCGGCTGGGAATCTATGGATGCTGAGGGCTGACTGTATACATTGTTCTATGCTGTTTTACATAAGAAACTTGAGCGGCATCAGCGAATTTTGGTATCCAAGAGGAGTCCTAGAATCAATCCCTTGCAGATACCAAGGGACAACAATGTTAAAAAAAAAAAAAGAAGAAAAACAAAACCAGGAAAGATCCCCACTTTTATTCTTAAATCAGCTCTCACATCTTCTCAAAGAAAATCAGTGAAACAATTAAAAATACAGAGGTTAAATGACCATTCATTACTACTTACATTACCTGACATCTACCAATGTCTCTTCAGGTGCTATACCACTTAGAAAGCATCTCAACCTGCACCGTTCCAACCCAGCCAGCCTGCTGTAGCACCCACCATGGCACCACAATGACCCCGAAAGAAGTGGCAACCGCAAGACATGACATCAAGTGGTGACGGAGCTGGACTTACACCTCCGTAGTCTGTGTCCTTAGGAAGTAGGTCTATAAATTTCATTTGTTTCTTTTTTTGCTTAGAAATAATTACGAGGATCTGTTTGCACAATGACATTAAAAAATAGACAAGAGCTGTACGCACATAACACTACACACAACACAGATATATGTAGCATTTAATATGAAACTTCAAAATATGTCTGGAAATGATTCTCAGCTCTGCAGTAAATAAAATATAAATTTAAAATGTGTTTTACCTGATAGATAAAACCACTCATCCTAGGACTGGCAGACAACATTAGCAAAATATTTGGGAAGAGTAGAAGATATCTCTCATTCTTTTCCTAATGTAAAAAAACAAACAAATCCAAATAATTTTTTTAAAAAACATATAGAGATGTGAGAATATTTTTATCAAGCTTTATGACACATTATACTATATTTCCTGCTTAGGTATTCCTCTCTACCAAAATTTTTTAACTAAATTAAATGGAAACAAAATTACAATGAATTCTTAGACTCACAAGTAGTCCACGTAACGTCTTTTTAAAAAATTTAGTTAAGGACTTCAGCTCTGCCATTAACTCTTTTTAATTAGCTTAAAATTTTCTTTTTATTATTGAGAGAAAACAGAACAAAAGAACTTGTAAAATTTTAGTTGGGGGAGGAACAGATGGACCCTTCATACTAAATATGGGTAAGATGAAATGTTAAAATCAATTTTGGTCTACTAGAAACTCCTGGCACTTCCCTAAAACTCTTGATATATCAATTCAATATTGTTTGCATCCATCATGTAAACTTTATCTAGTTTACATGAAAGATTTAAAAATATTATTTATGTATTAACAATCATTCATTTCAATAAGGTAAGCAAAGTGCCAGAGAGACCATAACTGACGGACAAAAATTCCCAAGAACCTAAAAGAAGACATAGAAGAGAAATGCAGACAGCCCTTGTCACAAGGTGCCATTTTACCACTGCCCACAAAAGTAAAGAAATACTAGTAAGCACTGTCCCCAAGCAAATACCTCAGAACACTAACCATAAGTAAAGTGCCTTGAAAAAGAGGTTCTATACTTTAAAGTTACTGAAAACTACTTATTATATTCCCCTCTTAAAGATGCACGACATACATCATGAATATTCAGAGCATAGGCTCCAAGAAGATCTGTCAAAAAGAAATCTTTACAACTACTTACAATCTGTCGTGATCACAATTTTGAATCATTATGTGAGCAGCACCTATTAATGTTTTGTACATCTAATATTACAAAGAAAATCTTTTAGGAAACGCTTCCATAGATTTTTAAATAAAAGTTAAAAAGCATAATTAAAAAACAATCTGGAAAGATATGGATCTTTTTTTCTTTGATCAATGGAGCCTATTAAAAAGTCATGATTTCTTATGGTAGCCAAAATAGTACCCTAAAGGGGTAATACCATTTTTAAATTCCATAGGCAAGAAGGAATATGCATTATAAGTTTCAGTTTTATTGCCCTAAGAGGTTCATGGTTGAAAAGAGTCATTAAAAAAATTGTAAAGTATTTACAATCTTGAAGAAACTCAAAAAACATTTACAAAAAGCTTTATTTTATACAAATTATGTTCAGCTCTTAACTCAATTTTTATCTAAGACATTTTAACGGTTTCAGGGAAAAGAACTGAGAGATTGGAATAAGAACAAAATTAGTCCAGCAGCACATGGCTGGTGTCCCCTCATGTGTTTCTTCCACCACCATTATTATCCACTCTGCACAGTGGAATGGCAGTGTTAGTACCGAGCCCACAGCCACACACTGCAGTACCTCACTTCCGGCACACTGAATCATGACCTGGGACATGTAAATGACATTGCCCAGGGTTTTAATGTCATCTCCCTCCCAGTTCCGGATGGCTTCTGTCAGGATTTGCAACTCTAGCTCTTTCCTTTTCCGTACGTCTTGACACTGGGCCTGAGAGACACAGGAGAACACTATTAAGACAGAAACTTCCAAAATCGTAAGTTTTGACCATATTGCTTTACATCTTAATTCTTAAGACATATAATCAATCTACTGAACAATTTGCTTCACTCACAAGTATAATATCAAGTCGAGAAAGGCAGAGCACACAACCACTATGGAGTAAGAAACACTGTTTTAGAAAAATATAGCATATCTTGCCACTTTTAGAAGAAATGTAGAATGGACAAGAAAAATATTTTCTGATTTTATCAGTGTCTGCCAACACAGAAGACTGAGAAGGCGGTGGGGGAGAGGGGAGTACCACTTGTGCTATAAATAAGGAGCATATGTCAGAAACACAGTCAGTCAGACAGTAAGACAACAGATAAAATGGAATCATCAGTATTCCATTTCACACTCTTATCACTAAGTACACTAGACGTAGGTTAAAAATATGTTTAAATCGTTTTTAAGCATTATAGCAATTATTTCATTTTTCTGGTGTCCACAACCCAGTAAAGAATGAGAATTTACTATATATTTACTATATATTTTTATTTCATCAGAGTAAACTCAAATTATACTTTGCAATTTTTTATCATTTTTTAGATGATGAACAATTTCTACATTTAATTGCCATGATAATGAATGAGAAAAATCTCCATAACATGCTCAATTACTTACTGAAAGGTTTTTGAAGGCAGTCATGGATTTCTGAATATCTTGTCTATCTGGATGATAATCCTTTGAATAAAAGAAACAGACCATTAGCTTTTCATAAGAAAAAAGTTTTTTTCTTAAAAAGGCAATCTACAAACTAGCGAATCTTCCAATAATATTTGACCTGTGACATGTCCTATTTCTCCCAGCACTAAAGTGATGCTTCTTATTCTTTAAGGAAATCATGGAACCAGTGGAGTTAGGGACTACAATAGTTTGGAACAGAGAAGCCAAGAGCAGGAGTCAGAAAGCCACCATCTGCTGTAGTGAATGAAGACGGCACATAGCACACCCATTCCTTACACACAACCTCTGCTGCTCTGGCTCCAGAATGGCAAAGGTGAGCAGTTGTGGAGAAGACCGGATGGCCTGCCCTTTATAGAAAAAGTTCACCAACCCCAAGCCAAGACAATAACTTGAACCCAAATTTCTGCAAGGCCCACAGCCTGTTTTTTAGAAATAAAATACGTATTAATTAAATGATGCTTTTACTATTATATTACTCTACAACTTATGCACTTAATATTTGTAACTAAATGTTCCTGACATGACATCTCAATGCTATTAGCATGTTCTACCTTTTAGAACTTTTTCTATCAGCAGTAGTGGGTGAGAGAGGAGATAAAGGAGCAAATGTTTTATAGAGCTAAGGAAAAATATATTTACCAAAATCATTTAGAAAATCTACTGAATTAAAAACCCTTGGTAAACTCTTTTTGTTGATTCTGGCTTCTGAAATAAACTATTAATAATAATTTCTTTGACAATGGCTGATGGATTCCAAGTGACAAACATGTGACAAGCAGTACCTCCATATGTCTCTCGAGCTCCTTCAACAGCGTAGGGTACTTGTCCAGTCGCATGAATGGTTTGCTGAGGCCAGTTGTCAACACGAGAATCCCCGGGCTGTTGGCACCTTTTATCTCCATGAACTCTCCCAACTCCTCACTGAGCAATGAGCAATGAAAAATGATGCACTGTTAAGAGTTCAGAATGACAACTCTCTTATCCCTACTGGCAATCACTAGGCTTATAAAATATAGCAGGGTATCTTTAATATTTTGAAGGCTACAGCTTTTCTAACCAAATACTTACTGGTTATTTTAAAATACCCAAGGAGGAACCCCCAGAAGGTTCAAGTTATTTCTCTCGTTATGAGCAAAAACAATTATGCATAATCTAGTATACAGTTGTTTCCTATGCAATCCCACTCATGAAAGGTCATTTCAGCAAGTGAATTCCACATACCAGTGTTCAAATGTAAATATACATTCTTAGAGCTCTAATAGATTTCAATTATCTGGAAACTTCAAGATGGTAAAAAAATCTAAAAAGGAAAAGATCCTTTAAACCTACAATAAACTGAATCATGGCATTAACACTCTAGATGCCTAATAATCCACCAAACACCCTTGAACGTAGACTACACCCTAAACCAGGGTCCCCAACCAATCTCCAGTATCAGCCCATGGCCTGTTAGGAACAAGGCCGCACAGCAGGAGGTGAGCAGCGGGCGAGCAAAACTTCACCTGTATTTGCAGCTGCTTCCCAGAGCTAGTATCATCACCTCAGCTCCACCTCTCAGATCATAAGGCATTAGAGGTCTCACAGGAGCACTAGTCCCTGGTGCCAAAAAGCTTGGGGACCACTGCCCTAAACCATTCTATGGGAGAAACAAGTGATGTTTCCCAACTTTCCAAGTGCACAATGTAGTACAATAAAATAATCAATACTCACTTTAGAATTTTGAAAGCATTTTCACATCACCATTTCACTTAATTCTCATGAAAGTTATCTAAGCTTATAGTTGAAGAGACTTAGCATATATTCACAAATTAAAGAAGCTTAAAGAAAAGCTAATATTTTACTACTCCTCTTTCACCATCACCTCTACTATTCATGCATACTGTTTTAGCCCTGAGAGTTCCACTGCAGCAGCAATGAGAGTCAACCTCTGTCACTGACACATTTATGACTCTCATCAGTGACTGAAACTCTGGCAGTTCTGTGTCTCCACTGATGTTTGGGGTCCATTTGAGGACCTGGGTCTGTGTTCCTCACTGATGCTCCATGTGTCATTCCAGACATCAGTAATTGAGGGGAGAAAAGAAGGCAGCAGTGCAAGTCACCCACCTGGATGAGCAAGGTGACATGTGAGTCCTCAAGCCACCTACTGGGAAGAGCACTATAAATGAAGTCATAAAAGATGAAAATACGGAATAACTGAATACATCTGTCCTAAGTGCAGGTTATCTGAATCTGACCTCAGGGACTCAGCCACTGTCTCACCTCCTCCATCTCTCCCTCCGCCCCTCATCCAGCTATCCTTGGCCCCTGCCCAAGCTTCTTCGAAATACCAGCCACACTAAGGGGTCCTGGTAAAAAAAATATACACAATATTTAGGCTAAGCCACTTGAAACTACTAGCTCAAAAGTGGTGAACGTGACAGTTTCCTACAGTTCAACCTAAAACGACTTCATGTGGGGAGGTATGAGAACAAGAGTTGGTGTTTGCACTCTCCACCTCTCATCCCATCCTCAACTGATTTCACATTGATTCTATTAATGCATCAAAAGGGTAGATCACCATACTTAACTACAACAATTTAGAAATATCAGGTTTCATAAATCAGGTTGAAAATTAACAAATCATGAGGAAGTCAGCCTTATATTTCTTAAGCATATAAGATCTCTTCAGAAGACTACTTCTACCTAAACTCAGGTGGCCTGGTTAAGTAAGGTGCACTGCATTTAAAATCGGAGTGTATACATAGTAATAATGTAAAAAACATAGTAATAATGTTAAGAGTACCTATCTACCTACCTATACATACGTATTTTTTTAAATCAATCTTTTAAATAAACATTTAGAAGATATAAAAATCAATGCAAATTACAAAAAAGAAAATTCACATAACCCTAGTTATAAAAACTTAGCACATAATAAATTTTCTCATTTCTATAAGAAATAAGGCTTCATAATGACTTTCTTCCTATAAGACAGCCATCATGGTGATGCAATTTAAAATATGTTACTACAGAAGCTGTCAAACTACTTCTAGGGGTGTGTGTGTGTGTGCTTTAATAAGAAACAAACATTTCAGCATCTCTGGATATATAACTTTGTGCTTTCTCAAGAAAATCACAGAGCTGGGATTACTGTAACCAGAAATAGTGATATTTCAGGATCTTGCTATGGATTGGTCTAATGTTTATCCCAGGAGTTGTGGAGATTTCAAAGCCACAAGCAGTATCCTTGAGTTTGCATAGTTACGCATTTTATTATTTTGCCTTTTCCCTTCCTCAGCATAGACTTCTTCACACAAGAGATGGATGGGTAAGTGAGGAGTACTCCAAGACTGATTCTCGCCGCCTGCCTTCTCTCCCACTTCCCTCCAGCCACTCTCCTCTGCTCAGCTTGGGCAGAAATGAGAGCTTCAGACAAAAGAACAGTCAGGAAGGAGGATGGAGAGATGAGAGCAATGCTAGTGGACAAGCAATCTGTGCTGGGCATCAAAGCAGGTGCTTCTGTACAATGATTCTCAGAGATATCACCCTGAGCCTGTGACACAGGTATTAATTATGCACGTTTACGGATGAGATGCCCAGTGAAGGCCCCTGCCTCCACTCTCATTGCTAGCAGGATGGCTGAACCCAAGTGGGGCCCCAGAGTCTGGGTAGACATGCGATGACTGGTCTGGCCCCTCCAACCACATTATACTGCTTTGCCTTTCACACTCACCATGCCCTCCCACACTCCTCATAAATCCTCACTCAGAAATGCTCTTCTCTTCAAATTACTGTCAACCTCTAAAGCATGAGGAGAGTAAATGATATTAAGATTTAAGAAGGAGCAATTTATATTTTACCAGCATTTCTCTATGTTGAGCAACTGATCAAGCACAGTCCCATAAAAATGAAATTTTTTAATGATACTTACAGATTAACTCCTTTAAATATAATCCCTGCAGGGCCCTTCTACCATAAGAAAAATTTATTCAGGTCATTTTTGATATTTCAGGATTATATCTGAAATTTCATAACTGTAGTTATGACAGAGGAAAATTAACAAAACTAGGCAAATAATTTTCATCACCCCACTTGCAATTTTTCAATTTTTAGGTCTTAATATTTAGTACCATAATAAAACAAAACCACCAGTTACAGCTACTTTGATAAAATAATGGCTCTTTCAGCTTAATTTCTACTGATTCTAGCAATCTTACACAGTGTATCGCCTCTGTATTTACTGAAATGACTGTGGGCTGCAAGACAGAAACAAAAAGAACACACATAAAGGGACTATCATGTAGCCTAGCAAAAAAAAAGTAACAAAGTGCTGGGGGGAAAAAAACAAAACTCATTTTACAGACTAAATTATGAAACACATAATTCATTCAAAATAGGCAGCTGTGAACACATGATGTCTACTATCCTATAATAAAGCAAAAGGTACGTAACTCTAGAACTGGTGGTTCTGTAAATGCATTCACAAGATTCACACTCCGAATTTAAACTAACACAATGCAAGACTGCAAATAAGACTTTAAAATTTCAAAACGCTCCTCTTAAATTAATCCTTAAAAAGTATATTCAAACATAAACAGATCAATCTACCCATAAGTGCAGCAGCTTTAAGACTTCAACAAATATAAGGAAGCAGGAAAGACGTTACAGGTTTAAGATCCCAGAATCGAAAGTGGTGAACACTGACAGAAGCTACCAGCCAACTGCAATCCTCATCTCAATTCATGGACTTACGCTTCAGAAATGGAGTCTGACTTGTGGACAGAGTAGGGACTCTCACTGCTCAGAGATCTCAGCAGGGCACACAGGCAGCACATCTTGGAGCGTTCTGTCTTGAGGCTCACACTCCCAGAGCACGACCTCAGTTCACCCACCTCCCAACTCTGGGACACGCCACATGGAGGAGGCTGTTTCCCCAAACACGTACCCATATTCTTTCCTTGTTATTTTGGGGAAATGCTACACTTACATTTCGGCTACGACACAGTCATTAAAGTAATATAATAGTACAGGAGAGAGGATAAACAGCACATACTTGCAAGCATTTCCCTTGAAAGTCTTATTTTAGGAAACTAACAGTCTGAATTGCTTTAAATGTCATCTTCAGGACAGATCCTCTCTTACATGGGAAAAATATTTAGTTAGAATCTTTCTCTAAAATTGTTCACCCCGTCTCCATACTTCTAACCCAATCATAGAGGATCAATCCCCAACCAAAAAAGGAGAAGGAAGGGAGAGTAAAGAAAAGATTTACGATTTTACCCTAACATTCTATTTGCTTTCTGTTTATCTCCTTCATCCCTGCATCAATAATTCCTTATAACTTTTTCAGAAACAAATTTAATCCTTGCATTGCACTTTTCTGGAAATTTCATTTAATTTGTAATCTCCAGGAGTAGACAGCAGAAAGCGTAACTGAATACATGCTTCATGGGATTAGGAACATGCATGCTAACACAGCCCACCCTCCCAGAAAGGTGGGGGAGAGGGGCAGGGGGATGTCGTTCGGGTTTTTTTTGTTTCTGTTGGACACTGTAAATCCTAATCTCCCTTCTTTTCATCACCATGTCAAATACTACTGCTTGGTTTTTGGACTGGAAAACGTTAATATAAATAGACATTAGAATTTTAATCCCTTAGTGTTTAAGTGCACAGAGAAAACAGTAAATGCCCAGGGTCTTTATTTATTTACTGGACAAAAGACAAGACAACAAAGCGATAAGCATTTACCGTGTTCACTCAGTTCTGATCAGTTTACACACATTTTCCTAATGCTTACAATAACCCTATGAAACAGACAATTTCAGAGAAGTGAGGTGACCCAGGCCTACCAGCTTGAAAGCCAGCAGCAGGGGCTCAAACCAGGTCAGACTGATCCAGAGGCCCTGCCACCACTTCCACACAATCCAGCCACACAGGGACACTACACCTGAACCTCAACTCAATATCTAAACAGCTCAGCAATGCTTGCTTACCAAAAAAGTATCTAAGTTTTGAGTTGAAATATTTAGTTAAGAGTTAAAGTTAAGCCTTAAGTTAGAAGCACAGCGGCCTTTATCTTGATGCTACTAAAATTATTTTTCCATTTATGGTTTAAAATTTTTTTTCAACTGTTTTCAGAAGAAACCATAAACATTTTTCTAAAACGCTCATTAATAAAAATGTGTGCCACTTTTAGAAGCAGAAGCAGAAACAGAGCCTCTGTGCTCTGTAATGCCTACCAGTGACCACAACATTTCTCAATCTTCTTCCAATTCTCAGGAAGCGAACATGGCCTTGTCTTAACAAACTAGCAGAAAATCTGTACATTCTATTTCACTTGTTTTAATTTTGTTTCAGGCTGAAAAGCTAAAACTAATGGTCTCCAACATCTATGAAGCTAATGTTCTACCTATAAAACCCAATCCTAATTTTAAATGGAACACTTTCTCTTACAGCAAATCTAATTCGGTCTCAGGTACTTCCAGTTTTATGATCTGAAAGAAATGTGATTCCCATAGCCCAGATTTAGCTTGCAGCTACATTCCAGAATACTCACCAGCTCTTCCAACCCACTGTCCAAAAGGCTCTAGGTTGAAGTGGGGAAGGGAGCCTTCAATAAAAACATTCTTTTTAATTACAAAAAACACTAATCGGCATTTCAAAGAATTCTTACCAGTATTTCTCAAGCACTAATTTTGAGGGGTAATTAAAGTAAAATTTTCATTGTTGAAAAATCAAGTGAATATTAGCATTGTTTTGGAGGGTACCCCAAGAAGTCTTTTCCTTTCAGGTAAGATGTCTAAGTGAACGCACCTGTGCTCCGTGAGAACATTCACTGCAGATGGGTGATTGGCACAATATGCAAGGTACAAAGTTTTCATTTGTGGCATCAGATTTAAAAAGCAGCCTCCAACTCTCTGCTGAGCTTCAGGCAACCTGGAGACATGCAACACAAGGGAAATAATCCTAAATTTTACAGACAGAAGGAAAATTGCTAAGTAATGAACAGAGAATGCTTTGAGTAAGAAAGATCTCCTTGTGTACCACCCACCTCTATGAAAACGAATCCCAGAATATGTCTGCTTACACCATGCATGTAGCAAAGAGAAAATACCTACCTTGAAAGCCACTCTGCTATAATGCAGTGAACTAAACCCCATCTTTTTATCCAGCATCCAAATGCCAAGACCTGCACAAAGAACTACAAACCCACAAGTCCAGGTCTCTTTGGGCAGTGAGAAAAACAGATGTCATGAAACCTTAAATTCTTGTTTTATGTTTTGCATAAAACAAGAATTATAAAATGAGGCTATTTGGTTAGTAAGGCTTTTCTACCAAGGTAGCATCAAGAAAGGCACACAAAAAAATACAAAAGTCACCTTTCCCTTCAGGTAAAGACTGGACACTGAGCACATCTACTGACTGCTCTCCTTACCAAATCCACACTATTGTGACAGTTACCATGATGCTTTAAAAAGCATAAACTAACAAAACTCAAACAACAAATAGAAAAAGAGGATCAGAACTAACTGTGGAAACAGAAAAGCAGATGATGAGCAGTCATGATTGGGCAGGCAAATCCAACTCCAAGACCATAGCTGAGCTCCCAGCAATCAGACAACTGGGCAATGGGGCCACAAACATAGGTGGGTGAAGGCAGCAAGACATTCATCCCTGTGGATGGAAGGTGCCTGGTGGGGGTACCAGCAGTGTGAGTGGGAGCAAGGGTTCTTGCACTGAAAACGGGGCATGGAAGGACAATGACCAACATCCCCTGTACCCCAAGTATCTTTTGCCCACCAGAAACCCAGAGCACTGACAGGAAGGATTATATCCTTCAAGGCAGGAAATCAGAAGAGCTTTCTCTTCTCCCTAAGGAATCTGACCCAGAGGAAAAATGACCAAAAAATAGTAACACCAGGGGTTCCCCTATAAAACAACAACAGACAAGTTTCAACCCATGGTCAGCTCAAGTGTTTTAGTGCACCAATTTTAATTATAAGATGACACAGAAGGATCACCAAAACACTTTTTTGGGGAAAAAAATCTAACAAGAATGACAGAGGACAAAAGGTGGGGAGATATGAAGGAGGAAAATATAATATTTACTCTTGAGGGAACAGAAGAATATTCAGAAGAATTGTACTTAATCCTGAGAGAAAAAAACAGAAGATACCACATTTAGGAAAAAAGGATGCTTTTAAAATAATAACATTCAGGACAAAAAAAGTTTGAAAATAAAATGACAGCACAATTGAAAAAGTTAATAGGAAATATGGAAAACGAAGTTCTGGTATCTCCCAGATTAATGGGAAAGAAAGTGAAGATTTGAAGACCAAGACAAGCAGTTCCACATCAAGATCAAAGTAATCAGATGTGGAAAATAAAATAAACAGAAGTAAATCAAAGAAATGATCACAAAACTTAGACTAAAAGACATGAGTCTTCAAAGAGAAAAAGCCCAAAGTACCAGTCTGAGGGATGCAAACAGACCCAAACCAAACACATCAGAGCCAATGTTCAGAGTTCTAGAAATAAATCACTAAAGGTTTTGAGGAGGAAACACAAGTTTTAAAGAAGAATCAGGACTAAGAATGGCCTGGGACTTTTCGACAACACTGAACCTTGAAACAATGGATGAAAACAACTTCCTACAATTCTGTCTCCATCTGAGTCATAATTAAGTATGAACATGGATTAACTGCCTTCCATGCCCTCTTTCCTCAGGACGTACCTAGGAAATGAGGGACTATAGCCACAGAGAGGAAGACACCAGCAGTCAACACTGAGGAAGTGAACTGCAGCAGGATAACAGTCAAGTGACACCCCGAGACCATGCAGCAGGGCTAGAGGTGAAAACGAGAAGGATCCAGTGACTTTTCCTAGAACATTAATAAGTACCCTTGTATATGTGAATGTACTGAAAGAAATGAACATCAATCAGGAACAAATTAGTGACAGGTATAGAGAAAAAAGCAAGCAAACAAAAAATGAAGACAATTACCATCATTGTTATCATGAGGAAAAGACTAATAAAAAGAAGGAAAAGGCATAGTAATTCTGGCACAGAATATGGCTCAACATTTACATAATGCGGTAACCACCTATCCTGGAACAGGCGTGTGCTCCTTATCAGGGATTTTACTATTTAGTTAATTTATCCTTATCTGAAGTCAAATTAAGCTAGCACCTGCACTGCTGGCAGACTCTTCCAAGTATGAACTCCTACGTGGGTTTTTTAATAGCCTTCAAGGATTAGCCACAGTTCTACCTGCAAGACAGTCACTGACTCAACAAATTAACTTAAACTATTTATTCAGACACTGGGAACAATTAAAAAGAGTAAGAAATCTTCTGCCTTAAAAGTTACTGTAATCTTCTTGGGGAATATGAAACAAGAATATAAAGTTTATATAATAGTACAGGTAATAAACAGAATATAAGACAGCCAATGATGCCATAATTATGATATAAACTGCTGCCAGCCCAAAGAGGAGAGCACACACCCTCTAGGAGAATGAGGGAAGGCCAGCACCCTTTCTAAGTCACCCAAAGATCAGTCATCACATGCAACAAAGATGCTGCACTCAAAGATACGTCTGATTACCTGCTTTCTATCAGAATCCAGACATCTAAGACACATCTATTTTAAGAATATTACATACTGACATTTGAGCAGGTAATGTTAATACTCAGGGACACAGTGAAATAGTAGGAGCCTGGCTTCTAGGATGACAGCTCCAGCAGGGAAACCCGAATGCCTGAGGGAATTGAACGTTAACTGTAATGATGGAATGTCAAAATTTTATAAACAAGAAAAGAACACAAGTAAATGAGATATGCACATGTAAATGATTATTAGGGCTGCATAAATATTGCTCCATGTTGTGCCATGTACTATGTTATGACTTCATTTCCCACCTGGTCCAGTACCACAGCCCCTAATGCGTTTACCTAAAATCTAGATCAATGTACCTAAAATCTAGATCAATGGATTTTCATTTCTTATATTTCATCCACAGATTAAAATTAAGTTAAATGTTAGTATGGCTTATACGTGGACAATTACTTCATTATACAAGGTTTTGTCTCTCTCTTTTTTTTTTTGGCTGAGCCTGGCCTTAGAGAGTTTTATTACCTCTCTCAAACCCAATTTTTTAAGAATTCACTATATGTGCTACCACCATATAAATGGCTTTACATTTTATAAAGCCCTCATAATACATACTCACTAGATGGCACCAGCAGAGCTCAGAAAAGTTACATGAGTCATCCTAAGACTAGAGCCCCAGGTCATGTGTCGACACATTTCACACATATCATCATCTAAATCACAAATTAACAAGACAAGCAAAACTTACAAAGATCAATGCAAGAATATGATTTAAGAGTTAAAACAGTGGATTTTCATTTTGGTTCTCTTGTGCTTCTGGAGGTTGTTTTTCAGAGTATGATAACATGTAGGCAGGGCACCTAACATGGTGTTGAGCCAAGTGCAAAGGAACGAATGGTACATAGGGCTGCTAATGCCAGCCACTTCCACCTGCAGCCTCCTGGGGAGCCAATGCCAACAATGGCAGCCTAGGGCAGAGGGGGTCAGTCTGTGATGCAGAGTTCACTGTGCAGACTCGAGCCACTACTCCCTCCACTGACACACAAGAAGTGAACTCCAATGACCTGAATTATATGGGTCAGGGCTGCTTCCACAGATGTGCACATTAACCCCAAATCATCCCCAAATAAGCTCCAGTCTTATGCTCTGCTTCTTAATAAGGATGACCCAGGCAGAGTCAGAAAAGTGCTCTGGATCTAACCAAGTCTGTTCTCCAAAGTTAAATATTATCTTTAAATCACCCAGGCTTGCTATTATTTGGATAGTTTAAAAAGACAGCTTTCAAACAAAATAAACTTCATCCTGCAGTTTAAATCTATATTGGTAATAATCTAAATATTTTATCGTGAAAATGTTATAGTAATGGTCTAAACAGTTATCTATAAAAATTTATGTAAATCTTAAGATAAACTTTATAATTAACTTTTGAAAAAATCACTACACAATGTTTATTTAACTCATATGATGATTACATTAAACTTATATACTAAATGAAATATTTTCATCAATAAGCTGAATTCCTATCATATATAGGGTAAGTAATGGGAACTCAGTCTCCTGATATGTATAATACAATGGAAAAGGAGTTTGCAACCAAAATAAAGCCCAAACATATATGTGAGCAAATGCAAGGGAAGAGCAGAAGGCTGTGAAAAGAAGTGCTATGTGTTCACTGGGTCTGAAAGAACAAGCAGGATTTACCAAGAGGAGAAACAGAAGTGAATCCACAGGAAGGGAAAGGCAGGGAAAGCTGGGTGGGAAACCACACTTCTCAGCCCCCCACGGAGGAGAGAGAAAGCCTTTCTTTCTGAACTAAAGCATGAGGAGGGGAAGGGGCAAGAGAGAAGTCTGATGCCGCAGGACAGACAGGAGTCCATCAGGAGAGGGACTACCATAGATATTAAAACTCTGGACTGGATCTTCTAAATCAGCTTTTTTTCCCCCTACAAGATGTCCCCATTCAAGCACCTCAAAAAAAGGTTTGTAAAATACTGCTGTAAACAAATGAGTGGCACGTATGGCTTCTGAGCAGACTGTTGAACAACAAGGCACATTTCAGAAAGAGCCTGGGCACCATGGTAGAGAGACAGATGCACAGGGGGCCAACTGAAGGCCAGAGCATGGTTAGGACGTTCATGCAAGGATGCACAAAGGACGAGGTGACTGAGCCAGGGCAGTTATGAGCGGTAAGGGCAGGGCAGGAGCAGAGCCAAGAGAGGAAGCCTCAGAAAGGTGTCCAGGTTTTCTAGAAAGAACAGAAGGTGGGCAATTAAGTCTTTAACCTAGATAAGGACAAAGGAAAAAGAAGTCGTCTCAGGGTGAA